TGAAGAGAGAAAGAGGAAGAAGAAAAATGAAGACTGACTTGTCTTTCATTGCGTAGTAATTTGAATCTGAAAAGAATCGTCAAAATACAGTCCAGAACAACATCTTAATCCCTTTGATGATTTTGTCTGTAAATTTCGTTCATTGTTCAGCAAGTAAAATGAATAATAGGAAAGCAATTTGCCTGTATTACTCACCAGGTACACCCAAGCACACACATATAAATCGTATTCATGTTGACAAATGTAGAAAGGTATGAATGAGAATGCATATCTTCACAATACAAGAGATGTATGTGACCGGTCTCGAATATATCATGTATTTCTGACGAAGATGTATTCGAAACCGGTCAGATACATCTCTTGTATTGTAAAGATATTCATTCTCATTCATACCTTTCTACATACACACTTATTTGCATGTAAATGAACAAATTGGTAAAAGAATAAGATGATCTCAACAAATTTAATTTCCATAACAATTACATCAAAATCTTTTATAATTTTATATAATATATATAGAAGTCTGGCCCTTCGTTAACAAATTTATATCATTAAATTACAAGAGGCAATTAAAACAACAACAAAAACAAACAGCCACTCATAAAAATAGAAATAAATACTGTAGCTATGTATGATAATATTCTCTATTTCATCATTTTTACTTTTACGTTGACATTCATTACTGATGTTGTTGTTGTATTTTGCGAATGAGCTTCACCAGATTTTACTTATCCAACAGGCCAACATTTCCGAGGTCGGGTACGTGGGGTACAGACGCCCTCAGGTCCTCGACGGTGCAGCAGTAGGTGTACCCGTGGGCGAGGTCATTCACGTCGAAGTCGATCCACGAGAGAGAACTGCACAGATCCGAACACAGCGGAGTGGGCGGGGTAGTGATGTGTGGGTTGTTCACGCCCACGACGGCCGCGGCTCGAGAACTGCTCTCCTCGTAGACAACCTTTTAGATTTAGAACTGGGGTTAGAATCGGGCGTGTTCGTGTATTTTGTTTCGGTAAATGTCCTTATTTGTAGACCTCCCACCACCCTCCCCTTCCTCTCCCCCTCTCCCTCCCACCCCCTCCCTACCTCCCCCACTTACCTTCCAAGTGACAGCTGGTGCGGGGACAACCATCTCGTTCTCAGTCAGCCCAAGGTAGATCTCGACCGGGTTGGCGTTGATGTCATCCAAGGTCAAAACACCCCAACCGCCGGTGTAGATGGTCAGGTCAGTGCCATGGGCTTCGGCGAGGTCACGGGTTGCGAACTCGAGGTACTGTGGTAGTTGGTGGTATTATGATTATTGTTATTATCATTATTGCTATTATCATTATTATTATCACTATTATTACTATTACTACTATCATTATTGCTATTATCATTATTATTATCACTATTATTACTATTACTACTATCATTATTGCTATTATCATTATTATTATCACTATTATTACTATTACTACTACTACTGTTGTTATTGGTATTACTATTATTGCGGTCAATTATATTATTGCCATAATTATTACTTCCATTTATCATGTTAATTATTTCCATCATCCTGATGACGCTTATCATTATCATAGGGATTATTACTATCATTACCATCATTATCACCATTACCACAATCACAATCATAATCATTATCAATAAATAACTTAACCTCCCCAACTACTCGAACTCGAACCTAGCGTCTAGGACAACTGGCCGCGGAAATTAACACTTAACCTAACCTGACCCAACTTAACCTAACCTAACCTAACCCAACCTAACCTAACCTAACCTAACCTAACCTAACCTAACCTAAACCTAACCTAACCTAACCTAACCTAACCTAAAACCTAACCTAACCTAACCTAACCTAACCTAACCCTTAACCTAACCTAACCTAACTAACTAACCTAACCTAACCTAACCTAACCTAACCTAACCTAACCAACCTAACCTAACCTACCTAACCTTAACCTAACCTAACCTAACCTAACCCTAACCTAAACCTAACCTAACCTAACCAACCTAACCAACCCAACCCAACCCAACCTAACCTAACCTAACCTAACCTAACCTAACCAACCTAACCTAAAACCTAACCCAACCCAACCAACCTAACCTAACCTAACCTAACCTAACCTAACCTAACCTACCTACCTAACCTAACCTAACCTAACCTAACCTAACCTAACCTAACCTAACCTAACCCAACCTAACCTAACCTAACCTAACCCTAACCTAACCTAACCCAACCTAACCTAACCTAACCTAACCTAACCTAACCTAACCTAACCTAACCTAACCTAACCTAAACCTAACCTAACCCAACCTAACCTAACCTAACCTAACCCAACCTAACCTAACCTAACCTAAACCTAACCTAACCCTAACCTAACCTAACCTTAACCTAAACCTAACCTAACCTAACCTAACCTAACCTAACCTACCTAACCTAACCTAACCTAACCTAACCTAACCTAACCAACCTAACCCTAACCTAACCTAACCTAACCTA